GGAACTTTTTTTTGCTAAATTTAGCGGAAAACGTGAAAACAGCGCAAACATTTGACAAAGGACGATTGAAAGAAATGCGCGGACAAAGCGCTGTCTTTCACTCGCCCTTTATTTCTTTCCCTCGTCCTTTGTCAAATTTTTGCGCTGTTTTCACATTCGAAGATGTTCAACCAACTCGCCCAACTTACCGCCTAGAGGAAAAATATTTGCGCTAAACTTGGCGGGAAAATTTCCACGCTAAATTTAGCGAAAACATTTTCCGCTAAATTTAGTGAAGCAATTTTCCCGCTAAATTAAGCAAAAATTTCCCCGCTAAATATAGCCGGAAATTTAGCGAAAATTTTCCCGCTAAATGTAGCGGGGAAACTGAATTGGTGTTGAGGTCACATGACGTCAATTTCCCGCTAAAGTTAGCGGGGAACTTTTTTTTGCTAAATTTAGCGGAAAACGTGAAAACAGCGCAAACATTTGACAAAGGACGATTGAAAGAAATGCGCGGACAAAGCGCTGTCTTTCACTCGCCCTTTATTTCTTTCCCTCGTCCTTTGTCAAATTTTTGCGCTGTTTTCACATTCGAAGATGTTCAACCAACTCGCCCAACTTACCGCCTAGAGGAAAAATATTTGCGCTAAACTTGGCGGGAAAATTTCCACGCTAAATTTAGCGAAAACATTTTCCGCTAAATTTAGTGAAGCAATTTTCCCGCTAAATTTAGCAAAAAATTTCCCGCTAAATTGAGAGAACATTTTTCCCGCCAAATTTAGCGCGAAAATTTCCACGCTAAATTTAGTGGAAACATTTCCCCGTTAAATTGAGCGGAAACATTTCCCGCAAAATTTAGCGAACAATTTTCCCCCATGTTTACCAGGAAAATTTTACCCTCGTGACGTCACACGGGACGTCATTATGGGAAACTTTCCATAATGCAACGCGCGCTTACGCCGACGCCGACGCCGCTGAACCCGGAAACGACGCCTAAGAGCTACGCTCTAAAACAAAATACACTTAGCGCTAGCGAACAGTTTCTGCTGCTACGCCCTTAAGCAGACGACCAAAGTAAAGCAAAGCGAAGAAAGAAGCCGTCCCGTGATGCTTCTCACCACGTCACCATCGAGCGATCGCAGCGCCCCAGTCGGTCCCGCTACGGTTAGTTCTTTGACATCTGGTTCAACCGCTAGCGCTACAATCAAGCGTAGAATGGCCGCTCGGCGATGCGTTGTTTAGTTTTGCAATGAAAAACACCGTGCATATTTTAGAGCGCAGCTCTTAGGGGCCCGTTCCCGGCTTGAGCGGCGTCGCCGTCGGCGTCGCCGTCGCCGTCGCCGTCGCCGTCGGCGTCGGCGTAACCGCAACCCTCGTAACCCTCGTGATGGTTACGAGGGTTACGAGGGTTAATCTCATGAGGGTTACCCTCACGAGGATCACGAGGGCCACGAGGGTTACTTACCCTCGTAACCCTCACGAGGGTTACGAGGGTTAGTTACCCTCAAAAGGGTTACCTTCACGAGGGTTACCCTCACGAGGGTTACTTACCCTTGTAACCCTCACGAGGGTTACGAGGGGTAGTAACCCTCGTAACCCTCGTGAGGATTACGAGGGTTACGAGGGTTAATCTCATGAGGGTTACCCTCACGAGGATCACGAGGGCCACGAGGGTTACTTACCCTCGTAACCCTCACGAGGGTTACGAGGGTTAGTTACCCTCAAAAGGGTTACCTTCACGAGGGTTACCCTCACGAGGGTTACTTACCCTTGTAACCCTCACGAGGGTTACGAGGGTTAGTAACCCTCGTGAGGGTAACGAGGGTGAGTAACCCTCGTGAGGGTAACTCTCATAACCCTCGTAAGGGTAACTCTCATAACCCTCGTGACCCTCGTGAGGGTAACTAACCCTCGTAACCCTCGTGAGGGTTACGAGGGTGAGTAACCCTCGTGAGGGTAACTCTCATAACCCTCACGAGGGTCACGAGGGTTATGAGAGTTACCCTCACGAGGGTTACTCACCCTCGTAACACTCACGAGGGTTACGAGGGTTAGTTACCCTCACGAGGGTCACGAGGGTTATGAGAGTTACCCTTACGAGGGTCACGAGAGTTACCCTCACGAGGGTCACGAGAGTTGCCCTCACAAGGGTTACTAGGGTTACCCTCACGAGGGTCACGATGGTTACCCAGGTCGTGACCCCCCCTGGGGTCACGTGACCTGGGGATACCCCCCCAGGTCACGTGACCCCCCGTTGACGTCATAGGCACTGATGACGTCGTCAGTGACGTCACTGATGACGTCACCGGCATCCGCATCGTCATCGTCATCATCACTGATGACGTCATTAGTGACGTCACTGATGACGTCACCGGCATCCGCATCGTCATCATCATCACTGATGGCGTCATCAGTGACGCTACTGATGACGTCATCGGTATCGTCACGTGGCCCCAGGTCACGTGACCCCCCGACGTCACGTGACGCCCCAAGGTCACGTGACTCCCACAAGGTCACGTGACCCACAAGGTCACGTGACCCCCAAGGTCACGTGACCCCCCGCCCCCCGAGGTCACTTGACCCACCCCCCAGTACCCTTCCCTCCTCCTCCTCAAGAGCTGCGCTCTAATTCGGCGTTACAGGGAGTTGTAAACGGCTTTCATTTTTTTTTTCGGGGTCAGCACGTAGTCGTTCACAGACTTCAAACCGAGTAGGACCGGTTAAGACGAGACAGTTTTTTAAGCCTCTTGCAACGGCTTAGAACCGGATGCGCTGCTGCAGTGCTGCTCCTAAGCCGTCGCAAGAGGCTTAAAAAACGGCTTTGTCTCAGTCGGTCCTATACTCAGTTGCAAGTGTGTGAACGGGCCTTCTTTTTAGGCTGTCTAGCCTCACGGAAGCACGTTTATTTCACTCTCACTCGAATGTAGGTCGACGACCTTCGTTTCTCCCGCTACAAAAGCAGACAGAAAAGGCCTCTGGCATCTGCCATTCTAGATCTGGGTACGTTTTGCGCGTATCTTCTCTCGCTTGCCGAAATGATACGCACGCGCCGCTGAGCCGTGAAAATCGCACGCCGGACTGTTACCCTTTGTAAATGATTGCAACCCCCCCGGCCCGGCCAACTGCTTCTCCGATCACAGCTGTGCCATGAGGTGAAGCTTGACACGAGAACGCTGGTTCCAAGCTTTCCGACAGACACGATTGAGTGTGACAGGAAGTTGTTACCGTAAATTATGTTTCACTTATGCCAAAGACCAATCCTAATCGTACGATCAGGATTGGGATGCCTTAATTCGCAAAAAGAATCCCTCGATTTGAAAGATAAAGATATATGGTTCGAGTGTCGACTGAAAGAAAAGTATTGGGTCACATAATAAACACACTGAAAAGACAACAACAGCAACAACACTGGTCTACGTTTCGTAATTGCTGTTACTGTTTAATCCTTCGGGAAGGACCGCCATGACATGACCTTACTGCCGATTTGTACAATACTTCATAAAGGTTTGGCATCACACAACTGCAAAGAACGCAGCCTGCAGAGACGACGGAACGTGGACAAATAGATTATTATTTATGTGTCATTAAATCGGAACTTTGACGTTATTTTTGAGGAAGGCCTACAGGATATTTTACTTCCAATTCTGTGCTAATTCGAGCGCTGCTGCTTAATGGTAAAGACTGTCCCACCGGCTCTCTGATATCCTATCTTCTTTCTCTCCGAACAGATTCTAACGAAGTAGTGCAGTGACAACAACGTTTTAATTTACGAATTCTCGGCTTAAATAAATACGTTCCTTACAAATTATATATATATATATACTGCGGGGGATCCCCACATCGCATATCTCTAACACAACATCCTTTGTCTTAACTCAAAGCCATCCTACACTCATCCAGCGTTTCGGGCAAACTCTCGCTCCCATGAGAATCCTCCCCCACGGAATTCCTCCGCATGCAAAAGAAGGACCGTCCTCAGCCAAGACCACTTAGAAGACAAGCCCTGCTCCTTTCCACCCCAACACGTCCTCGCTTGTGGATCCACGCAGTGCCGCCTATATAGCTTGCGCCAGCATTGTCGCCAGCGCGTATAGACTTATTGCTAAATTACCCAATTAAGCATCAAGGAGAGAGAGAGAGAAGTGTTGAAAGGAAAGGAAGCCTGGAGCTCAAGCATCAAGGAGAATGCAGGAAATGGTATTCCACGCGCCGCACGCGCACGCCTTCCTCGTATAAAAGATTCGAAGTAAATAAACCAAAATAAAGCATTGACGAACGCGCTTGCAAGATGCCATTTGTTTTGCTTAGGGTGCCTCAATGACCTTCTGTTGAGAGTGATGCCACAATTTGTAGTACCCGATGCCGACAGCACGCGCTCACGGGGAAAATACAAAGAAATCGACAAAATCGATGTCGCCATAGCACAGTCAGCGCCACAGACGCGTGCAGGGACACGCTCTTTCACGCGCTTCTGAACAAAAAATAAATGTAAAAGTGGGAACAAAATGGCCAGATGTCTCCACCCTAAGCAAAGCGCACATGAAGGCACCCTAGTTTTGCTTTAGAATAGTTACTGCTGCAGACGCTAGCACATGCGGCGCGTGGAACATGCATTCTCCTTGATGCTCGGGTAATTTAGCAATGGGTCTATATATGGTATTCACTAGACGCCATATTTATGAGTGCTGTTTAGAGCGCATGCTCAGAGCGAGCTCGCATTAATAGCCTGCTAAGACCTAAAACCTTGATGGTGCTAAATGCACGCTCCAAAAGGACTGCGGAAGCTCGCCGTCAGCACACGCTCAGCAGCAGCGCACACGGATATGGCCGCCAGTGAATACTCCCTATTGCAGCGACTCGCAATGAGCGCGACGCTAGCAAGCGCCGAAGCCAAGACGAACACGTCTTCCGCCTTGCGGCGACCCTCGTCAAGCTTCAGTCTGTTGCTGCTTGGGACGCGTGGAGAATCCAACAATGATGACGTCACGCAAGGGCCTTGCCCTCTAGGTGGAGTTGCCTCAGCAAATTCGGTCAATTGTCCCCGCGCCCAGCGAGTCCTTTCGAGCGTCCGTCTTCAGCAAGTCGTACGCCAGCAAGTCGGCGTCCAGAAGGGCTTTTTCGGGTAGCTGCGGCACTAAAGCCAGCGTCGTGTCCCGCATCGAGTCCCTCACGGTGAGCACGTCGTACTTGGGCGGCAGTTTCTCCAACAGCGTCTTGGTGGCAACCGACGCGACTAGCAGCGTGATCAGGCTGACTAGCATGATGGCCGTCTTGACGGGGAACAGCTGCTCGCCGGAGACCGGGTCGTGGCCCCCGAAAACCGCGGGCAGGCCCAGAAACGGCTCGCCGACCAGGAACCTGAGGGCGAGCCCCAGACAGAAGGCGGCCAGCGAGCCATACGCGTTGCACATGGACGGGAAGTGGACGGCGGCCACAAACTGCGGGAACAGGATGATGTACAGGTAGTCGCTGCTCAGGACGCTCAGGCCGTACACGGAAACCGGGGACACTGCCACCAGGACGCCGAACAGGGCGGCCAGGGCCGTGCTCAGTCGCAGGGTCCACACCAGCTCGCGCTCGGACGCCTGCGAGGAAGGACGACCTGCTTAAACCCCAACCTTGACGATCGCTCCGAAAAAGCATGCCTGAGCGCCGACCATCATATCCGTGTTGAAAGAGCGCGAGTCGGGCCGTCGCGGCTACGTGCGCATCGCCGCGCGCATCGCCGAGAAACGATCGGCTATTCCTTGACATCCTCTATTGGTTAGCATGTTTCGGTGGCTCTTTCTTATGGTTTCTGTCTGCGACGTTACGACCAGGATTATCAATCGCCAGCGACAATTTCGATGGTGCGTGTAAAAAGCACGGTGGAAAGCTCAGTGTCATTGCGTCCCTAAACCAACACCGTCAAAGGTGGCAGTCGCACATTCTTCTTCATTAATAAAAGTAGAAGTCACCATACTAAAGACGCCATGGTAAGCTTTTGGCCAATCGTGGAAGGCAGACCACAGGGACGCTTTGGTCGCACACGTCGTCAGTACTCAGTAGTCCCTGACATCTGAAGTTGGGTGCGGGGCGTGGTTCATTATGCTCACGATGTATGCGGCCTTCTTAGCGGCTTACGTCGCTATTTCATTGGCTATGCGGAGCGTAAGTGCTTCTTGCGCAGGAGTTGCGGCGACGTCAGAAAGACGCCGAGCTCTGATTGGCTCTGATTCAAGGACAGTGGGTAGACCTCAAGGCAGCTTGCTTTTATGTCTACCCCTTTCAATCAGAGCCAATCAGATCTGGGCGGTTTTCTGACGTCGCCGCAACTCCCGCGCTAGAAGCAGACGACTTGCTCTCCGCATAGAGTCCAGACTTGTAAGGCCGCCATTAATCAAATTACTTGCAATCAATTACTTTTAGAAGTCATTTTGTATTTATTCGATTGCTGTTATTAGGTTACTAATCACAACAATAGTCTGATTACTTCTGGAAGCTCTAAATTAATTTGTGACCGTTACTCTTTTTCCCCCTACCGTTTCTAATGGCGTTCTTTGTTCGTATACAAGTTTCGCACCAAGAAATTCCCGAACCAAGTCTCCGACTTGAAGATGGGGTATTAAAATTGGTGGATTTAGAGGATAAGTATAGTCCATAAATCGGTGATCCTGATCCAATAATAGACAGTGCGAAAAAACCGCTTTCAAACGGACAAAAAACTCCGTTTTTAAAAACAAAAAAAGTTTAAATTAATTGGACAAGTAACGGTTACTTTTTCAAGTAACGGCCAATTACTTCTCGTCTCGGGTAATCAAGGAATCTGAACTCTCCGACTTTACGCCTCGCTGTTGTCGGGACTGCGCATGCGCGGATGCTTCATCTCACGCGAAACCGGTTTTCGCCGGTCTCACGCGCACGCACGCGCAAACCAGTGCAGCAGTAACACATTTTTCACAAAGATAATGAAGGAAGCAAATTATGCGACCTTTTGGACAGAGAGAGGTCAGTTTGCCAGTGAGAAATGTGACGAGAGTGGTTCGCGCACTGAGAAATTTAAGGAGAATCGGGGACCATAAAGAAGCGCAGGAGTTCCCCTTATTGAATTTCTTCAATTGCGTATGATGGTGTTTTGAATCAGTATAAGTCGTTTCTTCTTTCTGAGAGTTAAATGTAAACATTTCGGCGGAACTCCGCCTGGTTAGGTAAGTAATAAGAAAAAGTACAACGTAGACTCTAACCAATTTCTTCAATGTGCCCGACGTTTCGAAGCCCGCTCGGCTCCTTGTTCACGGGTGACTGTATATGGGCCCAAGGGTAGCAACCTATCGTCGTTTTCTTCTCTTCTCTCTTAGCTTTGTTTTCTTCTTCTGTTCCTGTGTGTGGCGCATTTTAGCCCGTGTATATAGCTGCTTGGAAGCGTTCCGGTGGATCGGTTCAGGTTGTTGCTTGTATTTTGTATGTGCCAAGATTCTATTAAGGGCCGCTTTCTCCAGTTTCTTTCTGTGTCGAGGATGGAGCTGCTGTCAAAGCCAATGGCGTGGCCGGTCTTCTGAGCATGTTCCGCCAGCGCGCTGCCTTGGTTGTCATTCTTCTTAACATCATACTTATGTCTATGCAGACGTTCGGGAAAGTTCTTCGTTTCCCCCACATAAGAGGCGTCGCATTCGGCACAAGGAATTTGGTAAATCAGGCCTTGAGCTTTTTCTTTTGGTGGACGATCCTTTGGAAGAGGAAGAAAATGGCCCAGAGTTGAGACAGGTTTATGCGTAACTGCAATGCCGTACGGTCTCAAAACGCGGGCAAGGACCTCGCTCGTGCCATGGAGGTACGGGACACACATGCGGCTGGAGGTGTTTTTGTTCTTGGATGTAGGAGGGTGACGAAGTTGTTTGTATATTTTGTTGATAAATCTCGTAGGGTAGTTGTTTTTCCGAAGGTCTCGCTTTATAATATCGACTTCCATCTTAAGTGACTTCTTTGTTGAGCAGACCGTGAGGGCGCGTCGAAAGAGCGTCGACACTACAGAGGATTTGTGAGCCGTAGGGTGGTCTGACGAGTAGTTTAGGTAGCGACCGGTGTGCGTTGCTTTCCTGTATACTTGGAAGAATAAATGGTTCCCTGTTTTTTCCACTGCCACATCCAGAAATGGAAGGCACCCGTTAGACTCTTGTTCAACCGTGAATTGAATGTCTGGATGGATAGAATTGAGATGTTTGTGAAAGCGATCGACTTCGCTGGACTTGGCAACACAGAAGCAATCATCCACGTAACGTAGAAACAGAGTCGGTGTGGGAGAAAATGTGCTTAAGGCTTTTTGCTCGATGGCTTCCATTGTGAGGTTGGCGACAGTGACGGACACCGCGGCACCCATGGCTGTGCCACTACTTTGCTTGTAGTAGCGACCAGCGAAAGAAAAGTAGGTATTTGTCAGGCACAGCTCTAGTAGCCGACATATCTCATTCACCGAGAGGTGTGTTCTTTCAGGTAGAGTCGTGTCGGCCTTGAGTGCAGTTCTGACAACAGACACCGCGAGTCGAATGGGAATACTCGTGAAGAGAGATACCACATCAAATGAAACAAGGCACTCGTCGTCGTTCAATTGCAGGTCCGAAGCGAGTTCGATGAAGTGGGCAGTGTTCTCGACATGTGTGTTGGTCTTCCCCATGAGCGGAAGAAACAGACGATGGAGATAGTTTGACAGCGCTCGTAATGGCGACGTTGTAAAGTCAACTATGGGACGAAGCGGAATGCCACACTTGTGTATTTTTGGTAAGCCGTAGAACGCCGGAGTCGATCCGTTTCGGCAGATAAGGCTAAGGTAGAGAGCCCGAAACTCCGGATATTTGTTGAAGACGGCGTAAAGCGCTTTATTTAAGATTCCTTGAATTTTTGATGTCGGGTCTTTCGGTAGCATCATGTACGCTTTGGTGTTCAGAAGTGCGTGCACCTTCTCCTCATAGTCTGTACGGTCCATCACCACTGTGACATTCCCTTTGTCAGCTGGAAGAATTACGATGATGTTGTCTTCCTTTAGCTTCCTGAGGGCGGACTTTTCTTCTGTGCTATAGTTAAAATGCCTCCATGTGCCTGAGGTTTTTCCGGCCATCAATGATTTTGCTAAGTCTGCTGCTTCCTCGGCCGCCTTGAGGAAAGGGCTGGAACACGAGAAGAAGCTTGTCTCTCTCCAAGGTCGGCCCAACACCCCCCAAACTTTGAACAAGGGTTTCGTCAAAAACCTCTCTTCGAAGGTACTCTCCCCAACCGAGACACTGGTTTTGGCGAAGGGAAAGAAGTTTAACTTCACTACTGTTCATCCTCCTCTCGCACTTATGGCAGCTTCCGTTGAGGAGGGTTTACACAAACTAGACACTTGCATCCGCGAAGAAGCTCGCTTGAAAGCCATCGGCGTACTTTCAAAAGTAAACCAAAGGAGGCATTTTAACTATAGCACAGAAGAAAAGTCCGCCCTCAGGAAGCTAAAGGAAGACAACAGCATCGTAATTCTTCCAGCTGACAAAGGGAATGTCACAGTGGTGATGGACCGTACAGACTATGAGGAGAAGGTGCACGCACTTCTGAACACCAAAGCGTACATGATGCTACCGAAAGACCCGACATCAAAAATTCAAGGAATCTTAAACAAAGCGCTTTACGCCGTCTTCAACAAATATCCGGAGTTTCGGGCTCTCTACCTTAGTCTTATCTGCCGAAACGGATCGACTCCTGCGTTCTACGGCTTACCAAAAATACACAAGTGTGGCATTCCGCTTCGTCCCATAGTTGACTTTACAACGTCGCCATTACGAGCGCTGTCAAACTATCTCCATCGTCTGTTTCTTCCGCTCATGGGGAAGACCAACACACATGTCGAGAACACTGCCCACTTCATCGAACTCGCTTCGGACCTGCAATTGAACGACGACGAGTGCCTTGTTTCATTTGGTGTGGTATCTCTCTTCACGAGTATTCCCATTCGACTCGCGGTGTCTGTTGTCAGAACTGCACTCAAGGCCGACACGACTCTACCTGAAAGAACACACCTCTCGGTGAATGAGATATGTCGGCTACTAGAGCTGTGCCTGACAAATACCTACTTTTCTTTCGCTGGTCGCTACTACAAGCAAAGTAGTGGCACAGCCATGGGTGCCGCGGTGTCCGTCACTGTCGCCAACCTCACAATGGAAGCCATCGAGCAAAAAGCCTTAAGCACATTTTCTCCCACACCGACTCTGTTTCTACGTTACGTGGATGATTGCTTCTGTGTTGCCAAGTCCAGCGAAGTCGATCGCTTTCACAAACATCTCAATTCTATCCATCCAGACATTCAATTCACGGTTGAACAAGAGTCTAACGGGTGCCTTCCATTTCTGGATGTGGCAGTGGAAAAAACAGGGAACCATTTATCCTTCCAAGTATACAGGAAAGCAACGCACACCGGTCGCTACCTAAACTACTCGTCAGACCACCCTACGGCTCACAAATCCTCTGTAGTGTCGACGCTCTTTCGACGCGCCCTCACGGTCTGCTCAACAAAGAAGTCACTTAAGATGGAAGTCGATATTATAAAGCGAGACCTTCGGAAAAACAACTACCCTACGAGATTTATCAACAAAATATACAAACAACTTCGTCACCCTCCTACATCCAAGAACAAAAACACCTCCAGCCGCATGTGTGTCCCGTACCTCCATGGCACGAGCGAGGTCCTTGCCCGCGTTTTGAGACCGTACGGCATTGCAGTTACGCATAAACCTGTCTCAACTCTGGGCCATTTTCTTCCTCTTCCAAAGGATCGTCCACCAAAAGAAAAAGCTCAAGGCCTGATTTACCAAATTCCTTGTGCCGAATGCGACGCCTCTTATGTGGGGGAAACGAAGAACTTTCCCGAACGTCTGCATAGACATAAGTATGATGTTAAGAAGAATGACAACCAAGGCAGCGCGCTGGCGGAACATGCTCAGAAGACCGGCCACGCCATTGGCTTTGACAGCAGCTCCATCCTCGACACAGAAAGAAACTGGAGAAAGCGGCCCTTAATAGAATCTTGGCACATACAAAATACAAGCAACAACCTGAACCGATCCACCGGAACGCTTCCAAGCAGCTATATACACGGGCTAAAATGCGCCACACACAGGAACAGAAGAAGAAAACAAAGCTAAGAGAGAAGAGAAGAAAACGACGATAGGTTGCTACCCTTGGGCCCATATACAGTCACCCGTGAACAAGGAGCCGAGCTGGCTTCGAAACGTCGGGCACATTGAAGAAATTGGTTAGAGTCTACGTTGTACTTCTTCTTTCTGAGAGTCACATGCACAGGGCGTCTCTTTCAGATGCCCCGCCTCCAGCACGCACTCGTTGCCTTCCGTCGTGCTTGGGCTGCAGGTGCACGTTTCAAGTTCACGGGATGCCCAGGTGTTACCGAAGGCGGGAAGCTCGCGCTTGAACAAACGAAAGACCTCTCCGCCGCATTAATCCTTTTCTGGCTCGCCGCAGTTGCAAGCGCCGCTTGCCGAACTGCGATCCAGTACGTGTTACCGTTCCAGAGGAGGCTTCTGGCAGGCGCCATAGCGATCATGCGCATGGTGCGTGCACATTGCGTGTATTACTCGCTTTTCTAAACGACGGACAGCGTGCTGTGGGGAGGACTACACACTTTTTTGTGTATTCGCAAAAAAAAAATAATAATAATGGCGCGACTGTTACTTCTTAAATTAAATTTGGTTCAACTATACGCCAAAGTACGTACGCAAGAACCGGTTTCACTAGGTGCGAGTTTTTTGTCTTTTTTTTTAAAAATCATTGATTTGTTTCTTCGATTTAATAACACTCGTGCAAAACGAAAAAAAAAGAAAAAAAAAAAGAAACGTGGACGGCATATGAAGGGCGTGCTGTGCCAACGCGCGTTCTGCCGCACAAGATTTAAAAAAAAAAAAAAAAAAAAAAACGCATTGCAGAATCGCAACAAGTGAAAAGAGATTTATGTGAAAGTAGCCCATACCTGGGCACATCACCAACAGCACGACCATCCGCCGTTGACCAATGCACCCTTTCCGAAATGGTGGAATGATGCATAGATTATGCGCAGCCGCCGTTAGTTGGTCTCATCGCTTCCAGCGTGAGGGCCGTCATTGGCTCCAAGTTCGCGTCGAGCACTGACGCATCACTCGTGTGGAATGCGTTTCGATCAGTGTATACGAATGCTTACGAAGCGCTCGTGTCCAGTGTGTGCTCACAGTGCATGACCAGCAAAAGGCGGCCGTACATAATCTAATTTCGAAATATCAAGAAAGGTCTATAGGTATTTTTCGTCTCCTCTCGCTCTCAGTCACGTGGGTTCCGTATCTAGTATGCGGGACAAAAATAATACAGTACGTAGTTCAACCTGGAATATGCGAAAAATATAGGTTAGGCCAAAAAACAATTTTTGACAATCACGCATTGTTTGTGAACACCTTTCAGCGGCGTGGAAAAATCAGAACGATGTTTTAACGCGTACCAGGAGTGACGTCATTCAAGATGGCTGCGCCCTTGTGCAAAATCCGTAAGCAGCCGATGCAACGCTGCACGGTGCCCGACCCGACCACGTAGCTCACCTGTGGCCTCAGCAGCGCCACGTAGATGTTTCTGGTGAAGAGCGTGCTCATGCTGAGCAGAGTCGAGTCGATGGACGACATGGCGGCCGCGGCCACGGCCCCTTGGCCCAGGGACGAGACTGCGGCCGGCGTGAAGTAGTGCAGCGTTAGCGGCAGCAGGAACGAGCTCTGCGAATTGTCTCCCAGGGGGCTCCGGCTACCGTGGTCGTCCCCGTACGTTGTCGCGTCCCAGTCTGCGCCAGAATTATTGTCTTTGAGAAGCCACACATGCCTGGGGATAAACGCGCCGAAGCAAGCACTGGGGCAAACCGATCGACCCTGTGAGTGACACAGGTGCCTTCAATGTCCTTTCCAAGCCGCAGTTATACAAAATAGTTTGCAGCATACACTGCCTGTTTATTTCATGTACGAAGCTCCTGTCACGACTGTCTTTATACATGTTCGAATATGCTCGAGGGTCTGCAGCAAGCACTGCGTATTCAGTATGACGCATATGAGCAATCTGACTGAAGTTTTAGGGTGCCTCGATGTCCTCCTTATAGAGAGATGTCCTTTCTAGTGGTACCAAATACCGACAGCACTCGCACCCAGGTAAAATACAGAAGAAACAGCCGGTAACAAGTGCTGTCGCAGCACAGTGCCAAGAGTTCATGCCGGGTGACGCTCTTTCACGCCTTACAAAACACAAGAAGAAGCGATGATAATGCCATTAATGCATAGGTGCAAGCGAGCTGGACAAAAATAACGATAATCCCTGGAGAAGAAGAACAAGGGAGACAATGGACAAACATAAATCTCAAACACAAATAGGTGACTGGCGCGAGACTCAAAAATTTCGCCTGGTCCTGGTATCGAAGCAGGGACCTCTCCATTTCCAGTGGAACACACTACCGACTGAGCTAACCACGAGTTAGACGTCAGTAGAGCAAACGGGTTTATCAGCTGCCACCAGTCTAACACCAACAAGGGTGAACGGCCTGCATTTAAAAGTTATCACGATAATGCAATTAATGCAAAGGTCGAAGCGAGCAGGACATTAAGAACAACAATAATTCCCGGAGAAGGGGAACAAGGGGATAAAGGACAAACACAAATCTCCAACAAAGCTAGGTGAGTGGTGTGCGACTGAAAAAGATCCGAGTGGTCCTGGTATCGAATCAGGGACCTATCCATTTCCAGTGGAGCACTCTACCAACTGAGCTAACCAGGAGTTAGCCATCAGTAGAAAAAAACTGGTTTTATCAGCTTCCACCAGTCTAACACCGACAAGGATGAATGGCCTTCATTTTAAGGTTATCATGCTAATGCAATTAATGGAAAGTTGCAAGCGAGCTGGACAAGAATAAGGATAATAATTCCCAGAGAATGGAAACAAGGGAAACAGAGAACAGACAAATCTCTAAACACAGCTAGGTGACTGATGCGAAACTGAAAAAAAATCTGCCTGGTCCTGGTATCGAACCAGGGACCTCTCATTCCTAGTGGAACTAATAGATAGTAATCACTTATCCAGGAATTATTAGCCTTATTTTTGTCCAGCTCGCTTGCACCTTTGCATTAATTGCATTATCATCATAACTTTGAAATGCTGGCCGTTCAGACTTGTTGGTGTTAGACTGGTGGCAGCTGCTAAAACGGGTTTGCTCTATACTGACGTCTAACTCCTGGTTAGCTCAGTTGGTAAAGCGCTCTTGCCGCTCTTGAAGTGAATAAGCAGCCAAAGACGTAAGAAGTAAAATGAAGCAGACAATCGTAGTCCTCATTGCTACTGACTTGATCGCACAGCTGAAAAGAAATTAACACTGTCATATAAAGCGCCTCGCGGTCTGGGATGCGTGTGGGGAGAAAAAGAAGAAGACGAGTGTAGTGGAACACCATGTAGTGGAACACGACACGCAGGGTCCGAGAGCCGGTGACGAAGAAGAAGCAGCTCGCTCCCGGCGGTTTTATTTATAACCCACTTAACAAACACGTGGCGCCCTCTAGGTTAGTGGCGCTACTGTACATCTCTCCTTCTAACAAAGACCGAAGATACCGGTGACGCTTAAAACCTAAAACACTAAAACCATCAACTCTTCCCAACACCACATCAACACCACAACACCACAACGTTGGAAAGAGTACATCTCCTCTCGTAACACAGACCGTAGTTATAGGTTGAGTCTTTTGAGGCGGACTATCGCCCGACCAAATCGAGACCTCTGAACTACTTCAGACTCAGGACCCAAGGGTCTCTGACTGACGACGTCAGGGGTCGCTGGACGACTGAGAGTCCGCTGCTGCAGACTAGGGAAGCTCAAGTGAGGGTGGGTGCAACTGCTAGATCGGCGATCACGGGACATGGACGCCATTTAATTGCTAAATTTTGCTAGGAGTCTATGGGGCAAAGGGTCGTTTTCTTTCCTAACTCGGGTCACAAAAGCCCATTAAGGTGCTTGAATAATTTACACAAGGTATAAATGATTACTTTTCCATAGCCACCAGTTTTGTTGCGATAGGTTAAGTATTTTTTTAACGCGAAAAATGGTAAATTCCGCCATCTTGGACGTTGCTGCTTGTCTGGCAACTTTGCTTTCTCCGCTCGACGTTTGCAATTCTCGGAGCGAGAAGGAAGCGAGAGAGGCTGCGCCAAGGCGCTCGTTGCTTGCAATGGGAGGCGAGAGGAGGAAAGGCGCATGGAGCAACAGAGTTGCAACAGAGCGGGCGCCTGCTTTTGTGCAGGCAACACTGGCGCATATCCTTTCTCGAATCCTCTCCCTCAGGCGCCGCCATTAAATTGCAAACGCTCTCCAGGTTTTGAGTTGCGCCCACCCTCACTACAGCCTCCCTACTGCAGACCAAGAGGTCTATAAGCAAGTGACTCGTCCGACTCCCATAGATCAGGAGGTTCTGGAACAGGCGCCACTGGAGGCTTGTACGGCACCAGATGCTTCCGGTTCCGCTGCAGAACTCCTCAGGGTGTCTCCACCACGTAAGAACGTGGTCGCTGTGTTTCGCTCAGAACCTTGGCACCGCACTGGACGTCCGTGACCCAGACATTCTCGCCTGTAGCGAGGATGTCTGGCGGGCGGTGTCTTTCACCTTAGTCGCATCGATGTTCAGCGCAGTGGTCCCCGATGATACCGCTGACTCTCGGAGTTTTCGTTCTGTTTCAGAATCTTCATGCTGACGCACCAGAACTAGAGCTTCCTCGAGCGTCAACTTCGAGTTTCGGCAGAGTCGGTCTGATAACTTATGGCGAATTCCACTGGGCGTTTTGGAGCGCGCCGGGATCAGTCGACCAGATCCGGATTGGAGCACAAGATCCGAACGGGGTCGCGCCGCCTAGGATCCCCAGTGGAACATGACCACTGCTCCGGGATCGGCGGATACCTTCCCACCTTCCCGTCATTCAACTGCCCGGGAATCCCCTTTTCGCGGCCGCCGCGGTCGTTTCGAAGACGTCTTCGCTACGCGGCGCTAACACGTGTTCGACGCACGAGTGGCAGGAATGGCTCAGGCGCTTCTAGCAAAGATTGCCGGAATGCCCGTTGCGCGGCAAATACCTTCTCTTCTCCTTACTCGAAAACGAACCCGCTGTCGAGCCAATGGGTAAGCAAGCGGCCATTACGAATTCTTCTGATGTCAAGACAATCTAGGAGCCCAGCCCGCGACGTGCTTCTTCTTCTTCTGAGGCGAGATGCCCCACGAGAAAAGAAGTCACGTGTGTGCGCCGAGGGCTGGCCCGGCTGGCTTCCGGTTAAATCTGCCGAAATCGTGGGAGCGACTTTTCTCGTGGCGAATTCCACGAGCCGTTTTGAAGATCGCCGGGATCGACTTTTCCGGAGCGAGCCTATTTCACTGGGCGATCGGAATCGAGACGAACGTATTCCACTGGTCGTTTTGGATTACCTCCCGCTCCAGATCTCGATCTGGATCCGAGAAAAGTCGCTCCCCCGATTTTGGCGGATTCAACCGGAAGCCAGCCGGGTCAGCCCTCGGCGCACACACGTGACTTCCTTTCTCGCGGGCATCTCGCCTGATCTCGCCTCAGAGAAGAAATGGTAATGGCCGCTTGCTTACCCCTTGCCTCGACAGTCGGTTCGTTTTCCAGGAAGGAGAAGAGAAGGTATTTGCCGCGCTACGGGCATTCCGGCAATCTTTGCTAGAAGCTCCTGAGCCATTCCTGCCGCTCGTGCGTCGAACACGTGTTAGCGCCGCGATTGCGAAAACGTCTTCGAAACGACCGCGGCGGCCACAGAAAGAGGATTCCCCGGCAGTTGAATGACATGAAGGCAAATGCCGATCCCAGAGCAGTGGTCATGTTCCACGGGGGATCCATCGCCGGCGCGACCCCGTTCGGATTGTGAGCTCCATTTCGGATCTGGTCAACTGATCCCGGCGCGCTCCAAAACACCCAGTGGAATTCGCCATCGGATCCAGATCGAGATCTGGAGCAGGAGCTAATCCAAAACGACCAGTGAAACATGTCGGTCTCAATCCCGATCGCCCAGTGAAATAGGCTCGCTCCAGAAAAGTCGACCCCGGCGCGCTCCAAAACGACCAGTGGAATTCGCCATTAGTTCTGACACCATGTAGGGGAACACCATGTAGTGGAACACGACACGCAGAATCCGAGAGCCGGTGACGAAGAAGAAGCAGCTCGCTCCCGGCGGTTTTATTTATAACCCACTTAACAAACACGTGGCGCCCTCTAGGTTAGTGGCGCTACTGTACAACGAGTGGTGTGCAGGAGCGAGGGATAAATCCGACGGTGTTCTAGTTCCTCTTGCCTTGGCTCTTCTTTACATAGCACTTGGTAACACGACATGGTGGCAGTGGTGGGATTCGGCAACCGGTAAATATCGTATCCGAGAAAGCTAGAAGCACCACAGGAGAAGACGTAACAAGAACAGCGAAATCCTCCACCTGGCCGGCTCCTTGAGCTGGAACAGTGACGGCTTCAAAGATGACGCGTAAACGTCATCTTTGAAAGAGCGAAATTTAACACGAGGAAGCAAGAACCACACGAGACAGTGGAGGCCTTCATCACGGCCTTACACAGTTAGCGGACTCCTGCGACTATGGACTACTTCGCGAGGAGCTGATCCGTGATCGTATCGTCGTAGGTCTCCAAGGCAGCAAGCTGAGCGAAAAGCTCCAGCTCGACGCCAAGCTCACGCTTCAATGTGCGACAGCGTCAGCACGATCTTTCGAGACAGTGAAACGACAGCAAGCGGAGCTTCACAGCGAT